ACGTAGATCAAAACGGAAAATTTATCCGTTGTAGAATCATCAATGTGTAATCAAATAATAATAAATTCATACCATTAAAAATATAAAAAAAAAAAAAGGCCAAAAAGGCATACAAGTGTGATTAACGAAGCCCAACACACTGGGCTTTTACAACACAAAAAGCCCAAATCTCCTACAAACAGATCTGTCTAGAACAACCAAGGATACACGTGTAGAAGGGGAGGAGAAGGAAGTCTATCTCTCTCTCAGATCCGAACATCAGAAGATCTCGTCGACCAACTCAGCAGTCCCCATGGCTCTCAATCTCCGGCATGAGCAGATTGGTACTTTTCGTCCTTCAAATCTATACGTTTGGATTGTTTTCTTACCGTTTTATACCATACTTTTTGCTGGATCTATAATCTATTCGTCACTGCACAAGATCTAGACTGAATCTTGTATTGATTCCGTTTATGTTGGTTAAAGTTTGGATTTTTTTTACCTTCCCGACTGCAGAATGTGTAATCCGCATGCTGAAACTGAACCAATCGGATTCAAGCGGCTCTGCAGACGAGGAACGTTTCAAGTTCTTGATCTGCGATGTTTATGCTGGAAGATTATCGCTCGTTTGATGCATGTCAAGGATCTCCGTGCACAAGGAGTTACACTCGAGTTGCCCATTAATAAACCGAACAGAGGGCATGTTCATGATGTAGCTGCTGTGTACTTTGTTCAACCCACTGAAACCAACGTCCAGAGAATCATAGCAGATACTTCCAGATCTCTCTACGATACCTTTCATTTGAATTTCTCGTCTTCTATCCCCCGCCCACTCCTTGAATATCTTGCTTCAGGGGTTCTAAGTTCAGGTGGTTCCGTTGAAAGGATTGCAAAGGTGCAAGATCAGTATCTTGAGTTTGTGACTTTGGAAGATAACTTGTTTTCTTTGGCACAAAAATCTGTCTATCTTCACTTGAACGATCCATCAGCAACAGATAAGGAGATTGAGGAGATCATCGAAAAGATTGTGAATGGCCTCTTCTGTGTCTTGGCAACGCTTTGTGTGGTGCCTGTAATCTGCTGTCCTCGTGGTGGACCAGCAGAGATGGTGGCATCTTCATTGGATCAGAAACTGAGGGATCATCTTTTGTCCAAGAACAATCTGTTTACCCAAGTTGCTGGCTGTGGTTTCATGAGTTCGTTTCAGCGGCCTTTGTTGTGCATTTTTGATAGAAACTTTGAACTCTCGGTCGGGATTCAACACGACTTCAGATACCGGCCTCTTGTTCACGATGTTCTGGGTCTAGATCTCAACAGTTTTGAATTGCCGGGTGAAAAAGGGGTGAAGAATAAAACATTTGTAGACAGCTCAGACCCCTTTTGGTCTGCCAACAGTTTTCTAGAGTTTCCCCAAGTCGCTCTGGAGATCGAAACTCAGTTGAACAAGTACAAGAAAGACGTGGAGGAGGTTAACAGGAGAACGGGCGGTGGGAGCGGCAGTGCAGAATTTGATGGTACTGATCTGCTTGGGAACACCAAGCATCTGATGAATGCTGTGAACTCGCTTCCAGAGTTGACAGAGAGGAAGCAGGTAATTGACAAGCACACAAACATAGCGACCGCTCTCCTAGGAGAGATCAAGGAGCGATCTCTGGATGTGTACACTATGAAAGAGAGTGACATGATGATAAGAGGAGGCAGCTTAGAGAGGAACGATCTTCTATCTGTTTTGAAGGGGAAAGGTACAAAGATGGACAAGCTGCGGTTTGCCATCATGTACCTAATATCCTCGGAAACCATGAACCAACCCGAAGTTGAAGCTGTGGAAGCAGCACTGCGTGAAGCTGAGGCCGATACAAGCGCGTATCAGTATGTGAAAAAGATCAAGTCGCTGAACGTTTCTTTGGCAGCCTCGGCAACCTCAGACAGTAGAAGCAACATTGTTGACTGGGCGGAGAAGCTTTATGGTCAGTCAATAAGCGCCGTCACTGCAGGAGTCAAGAATCTCTTATCCAGTGATCGGCAACTGGCTGTGGCACGGACTGTTGAAGCCTTAACCGAGGGAAAGCCAAACGCAGAAACGTTTTCATACCTGATGCTGGACCCGAGAGCTTCAAAGTCAGGTGCTAGTAGCACCCATGTGAAGGGGCCGTTCAGAGAAGCTATAGTTTTCATGGTCGGTGGGGGTAACTACATCGAATATAACAGTTTGCAGGAGATCACGCAGCGCCAGGGGATGGTCAAGAACATTATATATGGAGCCACAGAGATCCTTAATGGAACTGAGCTTGTCGAGCAGCTCTCGCGCTTGGGACAGAAGATGGGACTGAAATAGGCAAAAGATATGGAGTGGAGTCATGCAAGCTTCTGAGAAAGAGGTTGAGAAGCTGTTCATGGAAGCGCTTGTTTCCCTTTTTGATGTGAGCTCCTTAACCGTTTCATTATGTCTCTTTAACTTTAGTAATTTCTTGGTGTTCTCCTATATGTCTTTTGTGTTTGGTGTGGGTTGAATTTAAAGAATGTTCGGGACATTTCGAGCACCATCTTTTATTTAATCTGAAAGATTTTCCCAGAAGTTGGGCGTTGGTGTCCTCTTGAGGTTGGTTGCTTAATTGTGCTCTATGCAGCGATTTCTTCCTGCTGTTTAGACTTACTAGACTTATCTTTATATTCACCGTATCCATCAAAGATGAAGCTGTTCCTGGATCCTGGTTTACGGAGAGCGCTTTGCAAATGTAATATTGGTTCTTGGTATCTTAATTTCCCCCTTGTCCGATCTCATTAAAGATCGCAACTGCATTTCCAAAATAGGATCTGTAGGTTTAAATTTTAGTCAGGCGGACCATGGGATTGGTTGGCGGTATTATTAGGTTGCAGTTCCAATTCTAGTTAACTAGACTCTCTCCACTGTGAGCGCTTTCCTGAATTCGCAGGCTTGTTCTTCAGCAAGCTTTGTGGTATGCGAGACAGTCGGCTCTATTTGTTTATGAATAGAAAGCAGACTAATCCTTGAAAAACCGGTTCCAATCTGTGTGGGCATACCCTTTGACCTGATTTCAGATGAGTCCCATTGCAAGTCTCCGGTTGGTCACAAAACTTGACTGGCTTTAACTCGGCTGAAGGTTTCCCTAGAGATTGAAAAAAGAGGATGGGCTCCATCAGGTTGGTAAAAGTTACTTATCTCCTCTTTGCCATGAAATTTGGCCATTGCTCCTTTGAACAGGCAAGGGACAGAAGATGTATGATCGGTCATTGTACCAGCTGCAACTATTAACAAAGCTGGCCTCTTCTAACTAGGGGTGGGCAT